TATATAAAACGCTGGATAATTCACAGACTTCAAGAAACTTACAATAAAGAAAGGCCACCCTCAAGAGCTAAACAAAGGGATTTCTACTCAGCAAAGATACAGGGAGCAATTTGCTGTAATTTAATTGAGACCTTGGATATAACAAATTATAAGTAAGGTAATTACTTGTAATTAATTACTTTGGAGCAACAAAGGTGTAATGACATTCCATTTCCGATGTAGCATAATGAGTGAGAACCCAATTATCTTATTGTTACTGTGAATAATGTTTTTACATACTTTTATAAAGACATTTTTCAGTGTAACTTATATTTTTTCATTATCTTATCAATCACAAGGATTTTGGTTTTATAGTAAGAGAAAGTAATGGGAAAGTAACAAGCACTGAATGAATTACTTTTAAAACAGTGTAAAGAATGATGGCAATAAATATGTTTTGAACATTACACTGAGTTAAAATAGTTTTTAAAAGTAACTTTTCAACCTCTGTTTTAGCTGATTATTTTTTTTTTATTAGATTGTGCAGTTGGGATATTGCAAAAATGATGAGTTCAAGGAAGGGATCAGAACAACCTTTGGTGATTGCCCAATGAAATGTGGAAGGGAAGAAATAGATCCCAGTCAAGGCTGGAGAGACAGGCAGTAACACTATTGTGAGCAGCAGTGACAAAGACATAGAGAAGGGAAGAGGAGGTAAAATTTATAAATTATTTCACAGTTTGTATACTTCAGAATAAGCACTAGTACTAAGAACTGGCAAAACCACCTCTGAATATTCCAGCCCAAGAAAACTTGATGAAAAATGCATTGAGAGGCAACTTGAAGGCACACAGACACCCATCCTTCAAGAGATGAGTTAACAGCCCACTTTTCAGAGCACTGTTGCAATGAAGGAAGCAAGAGGATGACATGAGCCAAACTCTGCTTCTCCCACATTATTGGGCTGGTGCTGAGTTCTGCATCATATTGCTCTGATCCGGGCCTGCCAGTGAAAGTCTTCTCACTTTTACAGATGTATTTCTTGAAACCTCATTTACATTCAGGACAGACTTCGGAATAAGCCATCCTGTCCCTTTTAAATCAGGCATACACTAGCCTGTTTTGCAAAGCCCAGGAGCTGAATCACCTAACACCAGCACTAATATTTTCTTCTTCTTCTGTTTCTTCACTCCTCTCTCTCTCTCTTTTTTGTAAAGAACCAGGCCCTTCGCCCTCTTTTCACTTTGCTTCCATTAGTAGCAAATCCCCCTTGTCCTTTTTAATTTTTAATTACCATTGTCTGTTCACCTTTGTTTTACCCATGACATCTTCAATTTAAACAGTATCAGGGAGGTTGATGTGAACAGTTTTCTTTTCAGCTTAAGTGACTGCAGCTCGTTTAGTTGTTAATTATGCAGGGAGGTTTGCATGGCTGCGGCTGGTAATTTGAATATGCTCCCAATGTCAGGTCTGTGTCTGGGCGGCTGAGCTTGTAAAAGGATTATGATGTATATATGGTTCATGGCGAAGAGAGCTAATGAAAGAACCTCATTTAATCAAACACAATTAATTAAACGAACTTATGATATTAACCCATGTTTCCGTGCATGTATAATTTATATTAATTGATCCCCTACATCGAAAGGGACCAATCAGATCGGCTGCTGACAGCCCAAGAAAGAGGGGCAGCTACCATTAGCATTAGTTTGATGCAAACCATAATTGATGGGTCAGTGTGTTTTAGGAATGTAGCTAAAGCTTTGTTAATTGTCATAAGAAGTTCAAATTGATTGTGTCTGCATTAGTACATAAATTTAAATTGATTAATGTTTTGTCCTAAAATTAATGTCTACACTGGATGGGGTGATACAATGCTTTATTTATTGGATTCATTAATGCACTTAGAGAAGGGGGGGAAATAGCACTGAAGTTAGGTAACTGAGAGTAGATCGTTATGGATGAGTTCAATGGAGCCATTGGAGGGACAGCATTCTGACAGTGAGTCTGAGCTGCTCACTCCAACCCTTGCTTTAACACACACACACACACACACACACACACACACACTGGAGTCCAAGCTCAGAAAGCTCAAAGGAAACCACATTTGCATGGTGTTTCATACTAATAGTTCATAAGATTGTTGCAATGGAGGGGAGAATTAATATTGTACGCAGAAAGTAAGCAGAAATGTGATATTGACAACCTTGGGAATTGCTGTCCTACCTCGTGTAGTTAAAGACCACTACTATTTAAGCTCAATGCAGTCCCCAAATATTCATTTAAAAGCCATTTTCTGTATATACTGTCTCTAATCTGCTCTGAAACTCAATAGCAGAGATGTAGAGGGCATAGTGATATAATCCCAGTGCAGCTGCTTTGTAACAGACTTTCTCTCACCATTTTGCTTAAGCAGTGTGTGTATGTGTGCATACATGTTTTAAGTGTATGTGTATTTACCAGCCTCCATCCTATGTAAGCCACAGGATGGAATCCATGTCCCACGGCAATCCTCTTTTGACAGGGTTTATGGCACCCACATACTTTGTC